GCTGAACCACAGAGGCCTTTCTTTACCAACCTTTCACAAAGCTGCTCTCTAAAACATGAATCATTTGATTTGTTTTCTTGTGTTTTTTGGATCTTCGTTCCGTGCTTCCTATAATATAGTGACCAGATTTGTACACATTATTCCAAAAGAGACCATCCAGCTGCCTTACCGAATGCCAAAGTAATAACATCTGTGGTTTATACTCTGTAGCCTTCCATACACAACCCAAAAACCTTGTTTGCCTTTGTTACTGCTGCCAGATGTTCTGTGGATGGTTTTCAGGCGTATTGTGGTGAATGTCACCATGCCAGTGAATTTCAGCAAATTTAAGCAACTTTGAAATTATTCCTTTTTCCACATGGTTATGTTCAAGTCAAACCAAGCTGTGTTCTCACTTGAAACTGCCCTGTTTTGGTTACCTCTTTTTCACACTGTATCACTCACTACCTGTTACCAGGTTTTGTGCAGGAGTAGCAGGATTTCTCCTTTTCCAGGCTTCCTTCTGATTGTCTTTGCTAGAAGCTCCATCTGAAGGCCCCAGCTCTGAGAGTCTAGGGAGGAGTTACAGTGTCACTAGTACCCAGTCTACTTGAATTGAGAGAAAGATGGAAATTGAGGGGGTTTTCTCCTAGAGGGGAAGCAAAGGGAAGGAACAACCTGTTACAATGTTCTCACCTCTCTTTTCCTGCAGATTTGCTAACAGCACAGGAATACCACTGCCTGCTGCAGCTACTCTGCCCTGACTTCCCAATGGAACTCACTGAGAAAGCAGCAAGGTGGGTCTTCATCATCTCTTCCAATGTGACATCAGTCCCACACACATGGATTTAGGAACTAAATCTGTGGGTAAAGCTATGAACAGGGACCTTCAGCTTTTAAGATTTTGGGGAAAAGAGAGACCATGGTTTGAGGTAAAGAATGGGGTGTTTTTCTAGCAATGAGAAAGATTGTATATTTAAGGTGTACAGGGACTGAAAGATTGGTGCAGAATGCTGCTGCTGACTCTCGGTTCAGAAGATGAGTTGCATATAAAGGAATGTCCGCCAATATGTTTTTAACTGACAAGATTTTCAACTCTTATTTCAAATACTGTTTGCCATCTTTAAAATGTGTTCCCCCATTGCTCCAGCTCCCTGTGCTTGATCATGTTTAAAAGGGAGTGACTTCTGAAGTATTGCCAATGTTTTAAAGTATGTTAGCTAAGAACATAGTAGCTAATCTGTTTAAATTTTATTTTAATCTAGACAAGGCCTAAAGCAGATAGACAGCTCAAGGCACTGATAATGTGATACCAGTTTTTCTACTGATAGTGCTTACTGGTTCCAGTTTAGGCCAGGCAGTTGATTATTAACTATCTGATAGTGAAAATGTAATAGGGACGGAGTATCAGTTCAGATCTCAGCAGGAGTGCGCACACACACACACACATATATATAATCACTGCAAGGTTACTGAATAAATGCTGTCATTCCTAGCCATCTCAGCAGAGAGGGCATGGAAATTTAACTTTTTTCATGGACCTAGATATGACATTTGGAAACAAAATCCAGGCACATGATCAGGCTGTTAGCTGCTGCCTATGTTGTTCTTGGCCTAAATAATTAAAAGGTCCTGGTTTTCTGTTTGTCATTCTGTTATCTTTCTTTAGGCTTGCCTTAGGCTAAAGAAAAATACTTGGCTGATTCTCTGATCAGTGGGCCTTGGGGGGTCCACAGAGTACAGTTACTTGGCCACCAGTGCCAGACTAAGAAAGAATGCTAACCCTGTAGCAGGGATATATCTGTTTCTTCCTTTAATAGAGGTACAAAAGACACTAGTCCTGTGCACTGGTGTGTGTTTCATAGGGTTCCAGCTGAGCTGAGCAGGAATTTGTGATGGTGTAGGAAAGGAGACTTCAGCATATCTACACATGTTATGATGTTTGTGTCAAGGAATTCAATCCATGAGGCTGTTGTAAACCAGAGGCCTCATTCAGGGGTCTGCTGTGCTGTTGTGCATGTGCCATAGAGACAGACAAGCTGGCTTTGGGAGCAGGTGTTGGAGAGAAATGAGATCCCTGTCAGAGGCACCCAGACTCAGGTGGATATGACTTCACTCCTACTTTTGGCTGGCTAGAGATTTACTTACCCATTGCTATTCTGTTACAAACTAATCTGGCTGAACAAGTTAATTAAAAGTTGTCATATTTCTAAACCATCTTTTTCTTTCCTTCCAGCTGTTGCTCACTCTCATGTCCTTTTTCTGGTCTCCACTTTCCATTGTCCTCCTTGGTCTCTGCCAGTTAGGAAAGTGAATTCTGTAGGCTGTCTTCTGGCACTGTTGATGGACTCCTTGCAGTGCCTGAATGTCACAAGCAAAGCTACTGACATTGTTCTTCTTTCAGTCTTCACATCCCCATCAGTTTTCTTGCTAATTTGCTTGGGAAAGGAATTAAATAAAGCAGCCATGGGAGTAGCCAGAGCACTCACTGATACAGCCAGGACCTGTGTAATTACTGATGCTGTTGAGAAGAGAGCAGTTAGGGTTGTAGTCTCAGTGCTGCACAGCTGAGATGATCTCACAGCATGGTGCATTTTACTTGTCCAGTAGCTGTTGCTATGCACTGATAACAAACACTGGGAGTGAGATCGTGAAATGTCAGAGCAGAAGAACAGAAGCTACAACAATATAGGTTTTATTAGTATTACACAAGAGAGCTCCATTTTTCTGTTCCTAGTGCCACACAAATGCAGAACTCACACCCAAAAAAGAACCAGGCCGTTCTGTGTCTGTGAGGTTTCTTGAATGTTTTTTTTCTTCAAAGGGCTATAGATGGAAGATTTTAATCTACAGAGATACCTTTCATCTTCAGAGACACTTTCTGGCTTTCTGAAACTTGAAATGCAGAAGGACAGAAAATTAAGGGATTTTTCTAGTTTGATGCCATGATTTCAAATCTGTACCTGAGCTCTGATTTTCCTCTGGTAACAGAAACACAAGGAGCATGCATTTGAATAGTGGGAACTACTCGTTCACAGTTCCTATGCTGTTTTATGTGGTATGGGATCTCACGTTGCACTGGTCAGTGCTCATGGAAGTGGGGCTCACAAGTCTTGGTGTTAAAGGATTGTCTAAGAGTGCAGATCGTGCCCTTTTTGAGTGTTCTGCTTATTTTTGCCTCCATGTATCAGTAAACAAACCAAGTCCCCAAAGACTCACTTGACCCAGCCTGGCCTTGAGACAGATTGTATCAGTTAGCCTTTAATGGTAGCAGAGAACAGTAGAAGTCCTTTCAACTTGTCCTGGGGACATCCTGTCTAGTCTGGGTTTCTGAGATGTTAACCGTGATCAGTAGATCATGAAGTTTCTCCACTGGCACATTAGTGAGGCTTTTCTGTCAGCCAAACCCACTGGAACCCTGAAATACCACTACACCCTTTACCACTGTCCCTCAAGTGGAGGCATCTTTCTTTAGTCCTTTCCAAAGTTTCTGCTCAATTTTCCTTATTAATTGAGGGTTGACTACTAGCTTTGTAAATAAGCCTGTGCCCCTGAGGGCTTAAAGTCTAATTTGGACAAGAAAGAATGAATAAAATAATCCTTTGAAATACCCACTACCTGATGAACTCTTTTGAGTTGAAGTTCAGACTTTCAGATTTTGTACTCAACTTTGACCCTGTTGCCTGGGTTACAGTCTCATGGCTGGGATTCTCTCCTTGACAGTTATTTCAGGGAAGAGGTGCAGACATGTTTCGTAGGATGCTCTCCCAGCTTTCCTGACTGCTCAGTCAGCTGGCAATGTGGGGAAGTAACCAGCTGCAGTCAATCTCCTCATAAATGATTGTATTGGAATTAAAGACTTTCAGCATTTCCGGAGTGCAGGCTCCTGGGCCAAGTGGAGTCAGTAACCCAGCACCAGAGTGCACCTGTTTCTATTTAGATGCTTCTCTGTCACATATGTGCCACACAGTCTTCCTAGGAGGCTCCCTGCTGTCTTTAACAGCAAGAAATGTCCAGCAAATTCTCAGACCTCTGCTTACTTTCTTATGCTCTCTCCTCTAAGAAAGATACTGGGACACGGTGCAGCAGAGCACTGCCACAGGTCATAGCTTTAGATTTAACAAGTGAAATGACTTGATTGTCATGAAGGTGATGTAATATTGTCTCTCTGCATAATGAATACACAAAAAAGCTATCTACTGTTGTTCTTCTTCATCTCCAAGATGGAGAAATGTACTGACAAAAGGTTTGGAACTTAGGCTTTGAAAGTATCTGGGAGACAGACCATCATTTCAAAGGAGAGAGTGCAGCTTATCAGTGATGTGGCCCATCACATTTCCACTGCTTAAATAGTGGTTGGAAATGCAGTGACTGAGCAGTGTTGCCTGAGAAATGAAGATGCTCTGCCTGCCAGCTTCAAAGCCATTTCCTTGATGTGGCCACTGACAATCTAAGTAACATGCTTATTAGTGAGAATTAAGAACTGAAGCTACTGCTTCTTTAGACAGAGGGAGGAGGAGGCTTCTGGAACATAATAAATAAATCAGAAGCACTTTGACATCTTCAAAGGGTTTTGTTTTAAATACTGGCTTTTCTCCTGGGGACCCTGTTAGCCCCAATCTTGCCTTGAGATAATTAATTCAAGCTGCTCTGCATGTTTCATTTTGCCACAGTGAACAGAACTGGTCTGAGTGGCAGGGAAGTCTTGCAAGATTCTGTAACTCTTCTAGGTCAGCCTCCCACACAGCTGCCCGGAGTCTTACGTGAGACAGAATGGTGTTTCTCCAGCAATGTTTTGAGACTACTGATACTGCAGGAGTTGGTCTGTGGGTTGCATTTGGTCCTGTCTTCAAAAGGGTTCTACTAGATGACCCATACTTTGCTTATAGTGAAGTGGTAACCCTTCTCATGTGACACGATATGCCAGATACTGACTACAGAGTCAGGAGACCTGCACACAGTAGAAAAGAAGTACCAACTACTTTTCTTTAGCATCTCCAAATACTCTTTTATTCCCATCAAAATGAAGTGTTTCCTTCTGTTTTCCAGGCTGAGCAGTCATTGACCTGCCCAAGTTTCATAGAATCATAGAATGTCAGGTTGGAAGGGACCTCAAGGATCATCTGGTCCAACTTTTCTAGGTACTACTATAGTTTATATGAGGTGTCAAGCTGAGACTTAAAACTGTCCGATGTGAGGGAATCTGCCACTTTCCTTGGGAGACTATTCCAGTGTTTTGATTGTCCTCATGATGAAAAATTTACCTCTTGTGTCCAATCAGAATCTCCCCAGGAGCAACTTGTCCCCATTATCCCTTGGCTTTTCTGTGTGACTCCTTGTAAATAGGGAGTCTCCATCTTCTTGGTAGCCACCCTTTAAGTACTAGAACATGGTAATAAGATCTACCCAAAGCCTTCTTTTCTCAAGGCTGAACAAACCCACTTTTCCCAGCCTCTCCTCATATGGCAGCTCCTCCAGCCCTCTGATCATCCTTGTGGCCCTTCTCTGGACCGCACCTGGATGACAGTCTGGAGCTCCTGTTGAGAGGTCCTTCTCTGTGGAAACAGGCACATATAAGAGACAATCTGCATCATCCATAATAAAAAGAGTGTGAGTTATATTGCACCTCATAGTTTGTTGGGTCAACCCATTTCATTACTTACTGCAGTTTCACTAATGATTCCAATCTTGCCCCTGTGACATGAGATATTTTTTTTGGAAATTAATAATGTCTGTGTAGATTACCAGGTCTCACACATCTGCATGCAGTAGTTAAAGATTATACATTTGCTGATCATTGCAATATTTTTGAGGTTGGACCTTTGCTGTACTGAGCTACAGGAAAGCTAATGCAGTCACTCAGAACAGCAAGATATTTTACAATATGCCCTAACCAACTAGCCAGTGACTGAGGAGGGAAGTCTGTACATAAATAGCAGCTGGTCCTATAAAGAAGCCTTAGTAATATTAAAGAGTGTTCATAATAATAAATGTTTGGAAGCATTTATGCAGCTTTCACAGCATCTGCTCAGGACTCCTTTATCAAGTATTTTTTTAAAGAGCCTTCTTTTCCATTCAACCCTTCTTATGTGATATTACTAAAGTAATTCATTCATTTCCACAATTCCCTCTCAATGTATACTGAACTTCTCTTTTCACCATTTAAATAAGTACTGTATATCTGTATGGTCTCTCTGGTGACAGCTCAGCCCTTCTCTGCTGTAGAGCAGTGGAGCAGATCAGGACTATATATATGCAACTCAACCAGGACACCTTCATATGTTGAGATCACTGTGACATTGAGCAGTGATGTTTCAGGAGCAGGGCACATGTTTTTGAGGAAATACAGGTGCACATCACCCATGTTCAGGCTGGCTGGTTTCATGGGGGTGTCTACATCACTGAAGAGAAAATAAGCCTCAACTGCATGGGCCTGTCAAGCTGAGATGCAAAACTGTCCAATATGTGGGAAATCCACCACTTCCCTTGGCAGACTATTCCAATGTTTGACTGTCCTCATGGTGAAAAATTTACCTCTTATGTCCATTGGGAATCTCCCAACTTGTGCCCATTGCCCCTTGTCTTTTTCATGTGACTTCCTGTAAGTAGGGAGTCTCCATCTTCTTGGCAGTCACCCTCTAAGTACTGGAGCATGGTAATAAGGTCTCCCCAAAGCTTTCTCTCAAGGCTGAACAAACCCAGCTTTCTCAGCCTCTCCTCATAGGGCAGGTCCTCCAGTCCTCTAATCATCCTTGTGGCCCTCCTCTGGACATTCTCCAGCCTGTCTGCATCCTTTTTGTAGAGCAGGTACATAAACTGAACACTATACTCTAGGTGTGGCTTGACAGGCTCCAAGTAGAGCAGGATGGTGACTTTTTTATCTCTGCTGGTGATGCCCTAGTTGATGCAACCCAGCATCCTGTTGGCTTGCTTTGCTGCTGCAGCACACTGTTCACTCATGGTGAGCCTGTTATCCACCAAGACCTCCAGGTCTCTTTCCACAGGGCTGCTCTCCAGTGAAGTGAATCTCAGTCTGAACTGCACTCCTGGGTTATGTGTTCCTAGGTGCAAGACTTTATACTGCTCCCTGTTGAACTTCATGAGGTTCCTGCTTACCCTTTCCTCCAGCCTGTCTAGGTCATCCTAGAGGGTGGCTCTCCCTTCTGGAGTGTCAGCCTCTCCACTCATCTTGGTGTCATCAACAAACTTCATCAGGGTGCTCTTGATCCCAACATCCAGGTCACTTATGAAGATGTTAAACAGCATTTGGCCCAATATCGATCCCTGGGGGACCCCACTTGTGACCAGTTGCCAGTTGGAGGAGGAACTACTTACTACCACCCTCTGGGTATGTCTGTCAGCCAGTTCCCCACCTACTGCACAGACCACTTTTCAAGGCCATAGTGAGTCAGCTTCTCCAGGAGGAGGCTGTGGGGAACTGTATCAAAAACCTTGGAGAATTCCAGGTAGATGACGTCCACCACTCACTTTGCATCAACCGAGCAGGTTACTTTGTCATAGAAGGCGATCAGGTTTGTCAAGCACGATTTGCCCCTGGTAAATCCCAATCATGTGCTTCAATTGACTTGTGACAGTACCCAGGAGGATTTGTTCCATGAGCTTTCTAGGGACTAAAGTGAGGCTAATGGGTCTGTAATTACCTGAGTCCTCATTAGAGCACTTCTTATAGATGTGGTGACATTAGCATTCCTCCAGTCTTCAGGGATGTTTCCTGATCTCCACGACTTCTCAAAGATTATGGAGAGCAGCTTTGCAACAACATCAGCAGCTCTCTCAGCACCCTCGGGTGGATGGCATCCAGGCCCATCCATCTGTACAGGTCAAGTTCCTGTAAGACCTGACAGACCAACTCTTCCTTCACTGACATTGGGTCAGTGTCTGCATGAACCTGGACTTCTGTTCCTATGGCCTGGGACCCAACAGCACTGGTAAAGACAGAGGTGAAGAAGGTGTTGGGGACCTCTGCCTTTTCAGCATTGTTGGTGACTAGTTCCCCCCCCCGTTTAATAGTGGGGCAGTATTATTCCTCTGTTTCTGCTTGTGGTTAACGTATCTGAAGAACCCTTTCTGGAAGTTTTTGACATCTTTGGCCAATGTCAGCTCAAGCTGAGCTTTAGCTTTCCTAACTGCATCTCTGCGTGCCCTGGCAATGCCCTTGTAATGCCCAGCTGGTAATGTTCCACTTTTCCACCTCTGATACATTTCCCTTTTGGTTCTGAGCAGACCCAGAAGCTCAGTTAAGCCAAGGGAGTCTCTTCCTCCACCTACTTCCTTTGCCTTTAGAGGGGATGAACTGGTTTTGCATATCCAGACAAGTGTTCTTGAAAAACTCCCAGCACTCACTGGCCCCTTTACCCTCCAAGGAAGCTTCCCACGGGATCCCTCCGGGCAGCGTTCGGTAGGAATGCGAGCGGGCGGTGGTGCTGGCTCCGCATGGGCCGGCCCGGCAGCCGCGCCCACTGGGTGCCGGCACCAGGCACGGGGTGGCTGCTCTCCCGGCTTTGGAAAAACCCCAAAAGAGCCCTTTGCCGACCCTTTTTTTTTTGCCGCGAATCTCTCCCCAGGGAGGGCTGACCTGCACTGGAGTCAGTGTCCTTGACGTTTGGTTTTCCCCACTTCAGACACTGACCTTTTCATACTTACGTAGTGGCAGTGACCAGAGTGTTAGTTTTGTTCTCAGTTTTATGAATGTTTTTGCCCTAACTTACATCTGAAATCCAAAGGGTTTTTTCCTGAAAGGTGGAGTTGGACTTTGCTATCATTATACTGCATCTTCATAGCCCGTGGCTGATACTTCCCATACCCATGTAGTGTGCTTCAAAATCGGGGTGCATATAGCTCCCCACATGCACCTGGGGCTGAGCAGAGAGACAGAAGACATTGTCACTGGCCCAAGAAGTGTTCAGATTCCATGAAACTTGATCTGATAGTCAAATGATAGACCCGATAGATGTGAAAAGAGACCGATCCATTCACCAGGAAAGGAGGACAGGATGTTCACAGTTTGTAATTAGAAAGCTGATTGTTGGTGCAGTGTTATTTCCTCTGTAGTGGAGTTTATTGAGTATAGGTTGGGAATTAATAGCTGTTGTTATCCTTATGAATCTGAAAATGTCACTGGTATGCAGAGGAATAGCATAAGGCTCATTCTGCTTACACCAGTTTAGTACTTGTGTAACTGGTCTGTAGCACAGCTACTCCTTGAATGGCCATGTGAACCAGACTTGTAGTTTTTATGCTAGTGTTTGTTCCATTGCATCCACCAGGCTTTGAAAGCTTGACATCCATGTCACACTGCTCTGATCACTGTCGTCAAAGTGTGTGGTAGCACTGACATTCAGGATCTTCTCCTTGCTGCAGGAAAGTGTGTGGTAGCACTGACATTCAGGATCTCCTTGCTGCAGATTATGAAGCTGCTTTCACTTGGTACTATGTTGTCTACATCCATGCAGCACTGGGTCTTCCTGTTCCTAGCTCCCTCACTGCACTTTCTCTGTGTCTGGGATTACTGGTTACAGACTTTAGTTTTTGTAGCTGCTAAACTGCTTCTCTCATCTTATCCTAGGATTGTGCTGGAGGATGATGCAACGGATTGTCTGATGTCTTTTTCTGATTTCCTCTTTGCTTTCCAGATCCAGTTCTACTACTCAGGTAAATGCTGGGAAGCTGCTGACTTCTAGTATAGTATTGCCACTTAACAGCTTCCCTTCCACTTTTTGAAACTTGTAAGGATATGTTTTTTACAGAAAACACATAGATAATGGAATATACTGATGAAAGGCATCACTGATGCAAAGAGATTGGGAGGCTTCATAATAAGGTTCCAAGTTTTTGTGAGTAAGAAGATACCTGTAACTGTTATGGCTTATCTGTGCCAGACATAGATTTCCAGCTTTATCTAGAGATGTTAGCATCCAACAATTAACTTTTACTAGGAACACTTTTTTGTCTTTACCTTAATACAGCATTTCTGCATCTGAAGTGTTCGTTCATGTTGGAGACAGGATAAGAAAAGCCCACAGGCCTTAAAAGGAAAAGGAACTGGACAAATTGATACAACTCTTCTCCCTAATAATTGCTCAACTATGAGCTGGTTTCAGCTCAAATAGTTTCTGAACTAGGTATGGTTGCCATAGATTTAGGAACCCCCAGTGGACTCCTCTCCCTAGAGCTTCTCCAGACTCCCCTTGAAAGCACATAAACTTTAACCTCCACAACACCTTTTGGCAAGGAGTCAAGGAGCTGCACCTCTGCCACCTGTCCCATGAAGAACCACTGCTCTTGTTTGATTTGAGGGATCCTAGTTGGAAAGGAAAGTGAACAGTTAATCCCCAGTTTGAGTTTTAACTAGATGGGGTACTTTAAAATTTTTGACAGGAAAAGTACAAATCAAACAATGTTAGTTTGTGTGTGTGTGTATTTACATATGCTCACCCACACATACACATATGTAAAAATCCCCAGGTATTTTTAAACTGAAGCTTCAGAGACAAGGAGAAGAAACTTGGATGAGCATTCAGGGAGACACTGGCCTGTTCGTCAAAGTGCCCCTAAAATGTGATTGAGGAAAGGGAATCTCATTCAGGAAACTGCTTAAGCAGGCAAAAAGAAGGAAGCATTTCCATTATCAAAGTCAGATAAATTTCCAGACACTGGGGACTGCTGGGTTGCCTGCCGCTCACTTACCTCCCAGCACAGAGCACTTACTAAAGGCAGCATAAGCTTCTGTTCACTCACACAGCTCCCTCTCTTGGATGTAGCTCACAACTGGCCTCAATCAGGCAGAAGGAGTCAGGTTTGGATACTGGATCACATTGGCTAGAAGCTGTGGTGGAGCATAGTTTGTGGTCAGAGAGTAGATTTGGGTGGCCTGCTGATCTGATCCAATCTGTCAGTTCCCATATTTCTAGTAGTTAAGCAGCTGCTATCCCTAATACAAAAATCTCTTTTTCTCAGTACTTCTCTGTATATATTTCCCCTGCAACTCCCCTGTGCATACCACAACATTATCCATGACCATTCATCAAAGAAAAACAGTTCAAAATGGGGATTTTGAGTTGGGCAGGACCAGGCTCATAATGCCTTTAGCTGGGGACAGAAAATGTGCTTGGAAAGTTTTTCTCTGATACAACAAATATTTCCACTGAGCCGCAGAACCTCAGCTCAGCCTCATGGCCCACGATCATCCTGCCTTTCCTCTCCACACACCTCACACACAGCATTACACTTCCATTCACTCGGGACTTAAATGCCACTGGAGTCCATCCCAGCCTGCCCTTGTGCACACACACTCAGACATCCCACCCCTGTCCTGTTCACCCAGGCACAAGGCACACACGCAGCCTGTCACACGCTCTCCCACCAACCCACACACACGCAAACCACTCCAAATGGAATCTAGATCTGTAAACTGCTGACCACATCCATAAACAAACTTGTTTAAAATTAGGCTCTTGCAGTAAACAGTGGGTAGTATGAGGAGCCTGGGGAGAGGCTTTCTGCCAACTCTAGCCCTGACCTGCCCTGGCCCTTCCTCTAGAGTCCATGTTGTATTTACTTTGGAGCAGCACAAAGACAAGCTGGGCTACAGCCTGGAGCCCTGACTAACTTGCTCCCTTTGCTCCTGCTGCAGTTCCATACAGTTTGTTCCCAACTTTGATGAGTTCTTAGTCAGTGGCAAGAGACAGAGAAGGAAAACTTCTTAGACTTTGCAAACCAGTTTTTTGTTCCACATTAGCTTTCACACTCTGCTGTTTTATCTAGCTACCCTCTGTTCCCTTGAGAGGAATCTTGTTCAACAGGGTGAGTGGCTTCTCCTAATCACCTCCAAGTGAGTGGCCTCTCATAATCATCCTGATAGGAGGAAGCCAACAACTTATATGGAAATGGCTGTTTGTGCTTGCATAATACCTGATCCAAATATTCAGGATGCTGTAGTGTTGTGCGTATTTCCTGTTGGTGCTCTGTACAACACAGAACAGGGAATGACATTTTAATCCCAGGGCTGAAGGATGTTTTGCTGGTTATAGCCCTGAGTTTTAAGTCGTTTTCTGTTTTTTCAGAGTTCCTGGAAAGTGTGGCTGCTATTTATCAAGATCTACTGGCTGGTAAGAATCCAAATACTGTGATTGTGCCAACATCATCCTCTGGGCAACATCGGCAGCGCCAACCCCCAAATGATGGCAGCCCACTGGACGGGGTAGAGGCATCTCTTTTCTATGAGTGCCTAGAGTCCTTGTGTGACAGATCAAAATACAGGTATGAATGGAGTCCAAAACACAGATTTGAAGTCTGTGGCTCTGCAGACCCTTTGTAAGGTGGGGGCTGTGAAGAAATATGGAGCTTTGAAGAAGCTGTAACTCCCAAATAGACCTCATTAGAGAAGGATAAAAGGAGAGATCATAGCCAGATGGCTTTAACCAAAGGAAACTTAACAATTTCATGGCCTGAACAAACACAGGGTTTGAGCTGATTCTTGAAGTAATGGATTGATTTAGATCTCTACTTTGATTCTCACTTTTGCATTGACACTTCTGTCAAGGAGATATCCATCTACCATCATTAGTTAACTAGAGGAAATAAACAAGTCCAGTTGTGTTGTTAGGTATTGAAGCATAGGAAAGGCACACTGAAGTGGATGGAGTCTGTAGCCTTTGTACCTCAACAAGGTCACAATGATAGTCTGTACTCAAGCCTGTGATGGAGCTGGGCTCCAGTTACAGAGCCCAGGCACATGGCTAGCCTGACTCCAAAAAGACCAGACCTTATTGCATAGCTTTGACAGTTTCTTCAGAGAGTCTTGCAGGTAGCAAACACGTGCGCTTCTAGAAGATCATGGTCTAGATACACAGAAAGTCTCAGCACACAAGTTTCACCTGTATCCTGCATTAGGAGCCTGAATCCAAATTTGTGATCCACAAAATTCCTG